GAGGGCCAGCGCGGCCCGCCGGGCGCTGCGAGCCCTGATTTAATCTTGCCACCTAGTGTCAGCTCCTTTCTTCACACGCCCCGGCTTTCCTGAGGGCGCAGGGCCGAGCTCTGCCCCGCCACGTGGAAGCTGGTGCCTGGGTGGGAGCGGGCTGCGCCGGGGGCCCGAGGGCAGGGCGCCCCCGGGACGCCGGGCTGTGGGCTTTGGCCGCCGAGCCCGCGCGCCGCGCGCCTCCGAGGGCGGGCGGCGGGCCGGAGCCGGCAGCTAGAGGCGGGAGCGGGGAGCAGACGTCTGACGGAGGCATAGCCGCGCGCGCGGGGCCTAAACCTGGGGAGACTGGCCCCCGGTCCGCAACAGCCCCCCTCAGGATCAAGTATTTGTTAAATTGACATGGCACAGATTTCTCGATTACAGCGGCAAAGCGGAACTGAAAGGCGTCGTAAGATCCATCAGAACCCTGCCCAAAGCCCCATTCTCTCCCGACTTAATTTATGCCACGCGATTCTGTGTTGGGGAAATGAAGCAGAAAGCCCTTCCTCCTCCTCCTCCTCCTCCCGTTCTTCTTTCCTCCCTCCTCCTCCCCGCCCCCTCCCCCAGCACACCCCGGCCCGCTCCCTCTCCCTTTCAAAGCGGAGCTGACGGGAGACTGTTTAACTTCAGTGCTTCTGTGGGGCTGCGGAGTTTAACTCCTGCACACCAGTAGCTGGGACGAACAAAGGGGAGACTTGAGGTCCGAGCATTCAGCCTTTCTTTGCACTTTAATTTTCATTGATTGGGAAGACAAGGGCAGCCCTCAGGGATTCGGGCTGAAGGGGGGTGACACGCCTTTAGACGCCGTCAGCCCCCAGCCAGCCATCTGCTCCCAACCAAATGGCGTTTTTTCACTCCCTAACTGCATGTCTCTATACTCCCGCAACCAAGCAAGCGCTCTGAGCCCCCCAAATGCAGGAAGGACTTAAGCCGGCCGTGTTAAATAGACTCGCTCCGCCTCGGCCCCAGCCGCCAGCTCCCGCCTCTCCACACACCATAAATCCTCACCTTTCCCATTAGCAAAAAGCAGGAAACTTTCTTTTAAATACTTTTTGATGTCTCAGCAAATTTACTGTACAAAGTGGCTGATTAGGGCTTGGAGGCCCCGCGCATCCGACGGGGTGGGGGGCGGGGCGGGAGGGGCGCAGGGTGTCTCCTTTCTGCCCGAGCAAGCCCGGGGCTGACTGCAGGATCGGAACCCCTGCACCCGGCCACCCGCAGCGCCCGGCCCTGCCCTGCCCACCGTCCCGCTGGGCCGTGGGAGTAAAGGCCCGGCCGCTGCCCGCCAGGGACGCGTCCTTGGAGTGCCTGTGGTGAGGGCCGTCACCCAGGCCGGTTCTCACGGTGGGGGGGGGCTGGCTGGGGGGCTCCCGCCAGAACACAGCACGGGGAACAGGCTTCAGACTCTCGGCGGCCACAGGTTCAGTGTCTGTGTGGACAAGTCTGGGCTGTGTCTCCCAGACCCAGCGAGAGCTGCGTTCCCACCAGAAAGGTCTCTCCTCCTAGCAAGAGTTGGGGTCCTTGTTCAGAGCAACAAAATGAAAGACTTCCAGGCAACAAATCTGGTGTTGATCAAACATGCCAGCTGACTTGAGGGGGAGAGGGGGAGGGGAGGGGCAGGCGAGGCCTCGGAGGAGCGGGCTGCCCTCTGAGCGCCACCGGGCGGGCGCAGCTCCTGCTCTCGGCCGGGCCGGCCGTGGCCGCTGCCTCCACAGGGCACGTCCCCCGAGGGCACGCACGGGCGTGTTCCCGCTGGGCGTGCAGCGCCGGACGGACGGACGCGCTCGGGACCTCGGCGCTTCGCCATGCCTGGAAAAGGCAGCAGGCAAGCAGAGCTGACCTAGCGGTGGGGGCTGGGGGTGTCTGTGCTCGGAGGAGACGAGGCCGCCCGGGCCCCCCGCAGAGCAGACACGCCGGGCACGGCCTGGCCGCAGCCTCCCGGCCCAGTCGCCCCCCGCCCGGATGCCCGCTACTGGGGCGGGGTCACAGCTGTCACAGAACCTCTGCTGCCGTATGGGACGGTGGCCGGGCCGTGCAGCCTTGCGAGGCAGGGAGGAAGGCCCTCGAGTGGCGCTGGCCGGCCCTGCTGGCTCAGGCAGCGCTGCGCGGGGAGGTGGCCACGCCGTGCTGGAGAGGAGGCAGAGGCCTGCGGGAAGTTGCAAAGGCATGTGCTGATTTGCATGAGAAAGGCTGAGTCGCGTGGCTCAGCTGGCGCCCCAAGCGCAGATGAGGGGATCGCCCCTCTCCTCCTGCTGCCCCCTTCCTGGGCTGCCTCCACTGCTTCCCCCCCAAACCGCATCATCTGCTCGGGGCTGTCCTGCGCCTCATCTCCATGACAAAGCTCTGTTTACCTGGCCCGCCCCGGCGGGCCGCCTTTGTCCTGGATCAGATTACCGGCAGCTGCTCCTGCGCCCCGCGCGCACCGCCGAGCGGCCCCTCGGA